AGCCCCCAGCCCCCAGCCCCCAGCCATGGTGGGTATTAGCTGAGTCGACAGCTGTGGCTTGGGTCGGGACAAAACCTCAGTGACAGGTCCTGCCCCTCTCTGGGTGCTAGCAGGGGAGGGCTCCAGGGGAGAGCCAAAGGACCTGGAGGGGGCTGGCCTGGGGAGGTGGGGTGTCAGATCACTCCTCCACCCACCACCATGGCCCCCACCATGTCTCTGCCAGCCCACAGGGTGCAGCCCTCAGCTGTGGAAGGGGCTGGGGGCAGGAAGGAGTGGGGGGAGCCCATCCCTCGTGGGGGAGGAGCCACCTGCCATCAGGGATGTCCACAGATGGCAGGTGGGTCTGGAAGTAGGTCTAGTGCCAGCATCGAGGCTAAGAGCCACGGGCATTAGGTCACTGGGGTGAAAGGCACTGGGACGAGGGCATTGAGGTCTGGGACTGGCCTGACAAAGCTGCCAGGAGTCCAGTCACCTGGTCAGAGTAAACAGTGGTCAGAGGGCCCAGCTTCCCAGATTTGGACTGGCAGGTCTGTCCTGTGACAGGCTTGGTCAGCATCCAGCCCCAGGCAGGAAAAGCAGGCCCAGCCAGCCTGGCCACCTCTCCTGAGTGGGTGTGGGCCATGACACCAGCTGCCCAGGAGCAGGCCTCACTGGGCCAGAGAGCCCCAGGGGCAGCAGAACAGTTGGCCTCTCCCAGCCACCTGGACAACGGGCTGACCCCTCAATTTTCAAACTCGAACCCTTTGTTCGTTGTGCAGGGGCTTGGCTCCTCCCTCTCCCCCAAGGAGGGTTGCATCACCCACCCACGGCATCCTCCACCCATAGTTCTGGGCCCTGGGATCGCCACATGGCCACCTTCCCTTGAGTTCAGGGCACAGCAAGGGGGGGTGTCCCAGGCCCCCAGTGATGGCAGAGATCTGCATGTTGTACCGCAGGGAGGGGCGGAGAGCCCCAGATTCCACTCTATAGATAAGCAGAGGCCTAGAGCAGCAAAGCGGCCTGTTGAGGTGGCTGATCGGAGCCCCAAGTTTATAAAATGCACATAAGACCCATGCGGCAGGAAGGGCCAGGCGAAGCCAAAGCTGCTCCATGAGGGAAAGCCTTTGCCCAGAGTGTGCAAGAAGTTTTGGAGTGGGGAAGCCTCAGAGCCAGGGCCCTCTGGAGGCCTTCCTGGAGTCAGTGGCTGAACAATATGCCAGGGAGGACAGCTGCAAGAACAACCCAGAATGATACAGGGCTTGGCCTCCACCTCAGAGCAGGGGTGGCCTTGAATGTAAGGAGCTTCCCAGATCCTCAGGGGCCACTACACCAGCTCAGTCTGATGTAAAAATCCCCTGGCCCTCGCCACTGGCAGAGCTCTGGGATGGGGAGATCACCAGGCCTCCCGCCCGCCTTTCTGCACAGTGCACTCTGCTTCTGAAGAAAGGGCAGAGCTTTGAAAGTCCCTTCCCGAAGTCAGCACCCTCAGAGCCCTTCCAGAGGTGTCCCTGGTGACTCCAGCTAGGGAAGTCCCCGTGGCATTTAACCACAGTGCCTCCTGCTGTGCCATAGCTCGCTCACCCCCAGCATCCGCCTGGGACGGACCTAAACCCAGTTTCCCCACCTGTCACATGAGTGGGTCCTCTGGGTCCCTGCCAGCCCTGTCCATGTCCTGACGTCTGAGTCTTTGCCCTTCACAGCCCGAGCCATTGTCCCAGTGGGCAGCAGGCACTGGTCTGCACACACTGAGCCCATGTCTGCAGGTCCCTAGACACGGCTGACATGGTGCCGCCGGCGGGTGGGGTCAGGGCGAGCACCTTTGGCTGGCAGGCACAAGGCACTCGCGGACTGGAGGAAGCATGGGCCACGCCGCCAGCCCTGCTGGGCTAGTGGGAGCCCACCCAGGATACTGGCTCCCTGCTCGTGGGTACGGACTGGGTAGCACCAGGCTCTGAAGCTCCCGGGGAGGGAAGGCAGGGAGCAAACTCTGGTGATGCGAGAGAGGAGGTGACACCTGGGACGGCAGGACAGGAGTTACCCGGGAGAAAAAAGTCGGTGCAGAGGGTTCGGGGCAGAGCTCAGAGGACGCCCCTGCCCCTGCCGGGTGTTGGGAGGGGACAGCCCAGGCCGGCCTGTCCTGGGCTGGGGCTCCCTGGCGGGACAGTGTGAGCGTGGGATCCAAGTGGTGCATTCCAGAGTTGGTGGTCTTGCCCTGGACCTTCCCTTGCCCTTAGTGGACCCTAGAAACATGGATGAGCGTCTCCGGGCCCCCCATCCCCACCTCTAAAAGGGGCACAGAAATGTGGGGCTGTGACCCCCAGTGTCCAGGGCAGGGGAGGGTCGGGGGCACGAAGGACCCGCGGCAGCACAAGCCCACTTGTAGCCAGAGGGGGGTCAAGACACCAGCCACCCCCAGAGGCCGAGTGGGGGCCTTGGCACCATGCTGACCTCGGGCAGGCGAGTCAGGCGCCCAAGCAGGGCCCAGCTGTCACTCCCTGCCTCGCCCCCCCCACAAAAACAGAAATGTTTCCAACGCACCTCTTGAGGACCCAGCTTTTTAAATTAAGGTGAAATTCTCATAACCAATTTCTAAGGCATTTAGCGTGTCCACTATATTATGCAACACCCACCTCTATTCCTTCCAGAACTTCTCATCCCCAAATGGAATCAGTGTCCCCAGCACCCTACCCCCCAGCTTGGGGTCTGCTCTGTTAAAGCCTCCAGCCCAGCTCTGCCCACCGTGACCCACGCAGACCCCGCCCACCTGTCTCGGGCTGGGGCCGCTGCCCGGCCAGCTGGCACGGGCAGGTGAGGGCACCTGGCGGCCAGCTGGTTCCAGCGAGCCAGCTGCCGCTGAGCAAAGGCCAGGAGGGATAGAGTGTCCACAGCGGGAGGGGACGGCCCTCGCTCCTTCCTGTCCTCAGCCCCGCCTGCAGCCGGGGGCTCAGGTGGCGCTCAGGTAGCCACCCCAAGGTGCAGCAGTCCCTGCCCCTCCCCAGGGCTGGTACAGCCTCCAGATAGCAGCCTTGCCCCACCCCCAGTGGGGCCACAAATAGGGGCCACGTGGCCACATGAATGACCAGCCAGGCTTCCCTGGAGGCCGGGCCTCCCCGGGCTGGGCCGGGAGCTTCCTGCCTGAGAGGTAGGTGCTGGGCCCTGTGACGGGGCAGGAAGGAGGGGGCGGCCCGGACAGGGCCTTGAGCGAGTGTGGGAGGAGGGAGACGCCCAGCGCCCCTGCAGGTTGGCAAGCGGCTGGGAACAGGCGTGCGGGGGCTAGCGAGTGGCAAAGATGGGCACCCAGACTGTCCCAGGGAGCCAGTGGGGGCTGGGTTGCAGCCCCCCAGCCACCTGCTCCCCAGACTCCGGCCCTGGCACGCTGGGCCACTGGGGATCCCCCACTTTCCCAGATGTATTTGAGGCCCTAAAAAGCAGGCTCCCCACAAGCTCAGGCACCAGACGTGGGGACTGCCTCAGGTCACAGTCAGGTGGCTGACNAAAGCAGGCTCCCCACAAGCTCAGGCACCAGACGTGGGGACTGCCTCAGGTCACAGTCAGGTCTACCCAAGTGGCTGAGCCCGGGGAAGGAGGCGGCGCCCCAAGCTCGAGCCTTGGAGCCGGGTCCCTGTGTGCAGAGGGCGCCCAGGGCTGCCAGTGTCAGGGAAAGTGTGCAGGATGGTCAGCACTGGGCTCCCCCACAAGGGACAGTGACCAATGCCAGGGCGCTTGGGCTGCCTGGAGGAGGGGCCCTCCCTCCTCCCTGCCTCCCTCCCTCCTGGCCCTGGGCTGCTCTCAGGCTCGGACACCTTTGCTCTCTCCTCCCCGTGACTTCCCTGCCTTTGCAGATGAGTAATGCTTCAGGACTCCTGGGAGCAGCTGGTGCCCCCCTGGTGTCAGCAACCTGGCTGCCACCCGGCCCCCCACCGGCCATGCCCACCGAGCCCCCCGGGCTGCAGAGGGACCCTGCGGGCAACAGCTCCCAGGGTGCTTCCCAGCTGTTCCTCACCACCTCGCTGGCCCGTGGCATCTCGGGTGTTTTCGTGTGGACCGCCCTGGTGCTCACCTGCCACCAGGTAAGCCCTCCCCTCTGCACCTCCCTCGGGACCCCGCCCTTCGTGAGGCCCTGACTGGCCCTGCTGGGATGGTGGGACCTCAAGTGATGGCCTCACTGTTGACACCAGAGGCCAGGCGGCTCCCAGGGCCTCTCAGAGGCAGCATCAGGCCAGGGCACAGGTGTGGCGGGGAGGCCGGGGGAGCTGGGCCTGAAGATGGAGGTCTGCCAGGCAGAGGGCAGAGGGCCCTTCACTCAGAGTATTTCCTCGGCCCCTCAGCCTGTTCACTGAGGTCAGCAGTATCGTCCCATTTCACAGACGAGAAGAGTGAGGCTAAGATAAGTCAGGGGTCTTTTGCAGGCTCCCGTAGCCGGGAGGGGAAAGTTTCTTCTTCCTCCAGAGGCACAGCCTCCCCGGGAGTGCTGTCGAGGGCTTGGACTTGCTCTGTGGGGAGCTGAGAGCCAGGAGCAGGGTCAGAGCGTGACTGAGGGCACAGGGCACCAGGAGGGGCTGCCCCTCAGAGTCCTCATGAGGGAAGCAGGGGACAGAAGCAATGTGCACAGCCCAGAGCAGTCACAGCTGGGGAGACAGGGCAGCCCCCAGGTGACGCGCCAGGCCAGCAGCAAGGAGGAGCCGGGGAGAGGGCAGCAGGAGGTGGCCACTGAGCCCAGGGGCCGGGCAGTGGGGGGTCCTGAGAATTCTCAGATGCACAGAAAGGCACAGGAAGGACATGGCTACCCCTGAGAGGCGCTGAAGCCAAGTTGGGAGGCAGGAGCTCGTGGCGGGCCAGGGAGAGGGCCGCCTGTGCTGGAGGGGCCTTGGGCATCACTGTGGGGGAATGGCCTTCAGCGTGGGGGTGCTGGGGAGCCATGGAAGGCTGCTGAGGGGGAGCTGGGAGCATAGCTGCCCTTCAGGATGGTTCAACTGGCAGTGGCATAGGGAATGGGTTGGCAAGTGAGCCCGGGGCGGGGGGCAGGCAGTCAGGAGACTGGCAGGCAGGGAAGTGGGTGGCCCTCTCCGTGAGTGGCTTGCTGCGTGGCTTCAAATAACCAGATATGAAGTAGACACAATGAATACGTAAGGGTGGGCCAGGGAGACACTGGTACAGCTGAGAGGGGTGGGAGGAGGTGGTCCCTTCTTGTGGGGCCATCAGGGAGGACTGACTGTAGGAGGCAATATTTGCACTGAATCTTACAGAGCTGCCTCTGGACAGGTAGACTGGACAGGTGGGTGGCACACTGGCATTTGCATGAAGCCACACCTCACTGCCTGGTGGCAGAATGGTTATAGGTCTGGTGTAGGCTGTAATTTGTAGGACAAGAAGCGGCAAGGGGGGCAGTTACTCAGTGCCCAGGGTCAGGCTGTCTCAGTCCCAGCCATAGTCTGGGCCTTGGTTTCCCTCTGTCTAACCCTGATCTTCTATAACTTGGGGACCAGCTGGTGTGTGTGTGTGTGTGCGCGCGCGCGCATGCGCTTCCTGGGGCCCCACCACCTGGACAGGACTGACGGAGACTCAGGCTGCAGCTCTCGGGCCCTTCCCTCGTCCCTCCACCCCTTCCCGCTCTCACTGCCAGGCCTCTGCCCACCCAGAGCCCAACGGGACAGACAGGAATACAGGACCTTGCGTTAAAGACAGGAAACCGAGGCTGGAGAGAGCAGCGGCTTGCCAAGGCCACACAGCCAGGCGGTGCCGGCTCCAGGAGCAGAGTTCAGGCCTCCTAATGGCTGGTCACGCTGTGCCCTGCCTCCCGCGCCAGCGAGGGAGTGAACGGCTGATAAGGAGCCTGTTCCTGCTGCCAGCCTGCCCCCACCTGTCCTCGAGCTGTGCCCTAGGAAGCTGGGCACACAGGCCTTTGCACACGCCACTTCCTCTGCTCCGCCTGGCCTTCCCCACCCTCTCTCCCCCTCTGCTCACAGCACCTCCTCGAGGAAGCCTTCCAGAGGTGCTCTCAGGCCACCCAGCCAGCCACCTACGCACCTGGCTCTTCCTCTTAAAGCCCCTGTCGCTTCTTTATGTCCTCGTAGAAAAATGTAGAAAGGTTTACAGATGTGCTGTGGTCACCCATATTTCCTGTTGTCCAGGGGTGACAGTGCTGTTTTTTCTCCGTTTAGACTGCGTTTTCAACACACTTGGGGTGCTTCTTGGCTCGTCTCCCTGACATGTCCATGTCGCACTCTGACATCCTTGTGCATGGCTGCACCACAGTCCAATCAGCCAGCCACCACCATGCGTGGCCCTCACTGTGTGGCCCTCACCATGTGTGGCCCTCACTGCATGGCCACCACTGTGTGTGGCCCTCGCTGCGTGGCCCTCACCATGTGTGGCCCTCACTGTGTGGCCCTCACTGTGTGGCCCTCACCATGCGTGGCCCTCACTGTGTGGCCTCACCGTGCGTGGCCCTCGCTGCATGGCCCTCACCGTGCGTGGCCCTCACCGTGCGTGACCTCACCATGCGTGGCCCTCACTGCGTGGCCCTCACCGTGCATGGCCCTCAGTGCGTGACCATGACGAACTCCCTTCTTCACTTCTGAGTAAATCTCCACAGGGGTCAAAGGGTACCAGCCTTTCTCGTGTCCCTGTCAAAATGCCAGGCTGTCTCCCGAGTGTCTGTGCCCACGGGGACCCTGACTGCCCCTCAGGAGGTTCTCAGATGGGCAAGTGAGTGAATGGACACATGCACCAGGAGTGAGTGTGTCCCCTGCAGGGGGTGGCAGTGGCCACGTCCCCAAGCCCGCCCCTCCCGCCCAGATCTACCTGCACCTGCGCTCCTACACGGTGCCCAGCGAGCAGCGGTACATCATCCGCCTGCTGCTCATCGTGCCCGTCTACTCCTTCGACTCCTGGCTCAGCCTCCTCCTCCTCGGGAGCCACCAGCACTACATCTACCTGGACTCCCTGCGGGACTGCTACGAAGGTGGGTGCCCCTGGCCCGGGCTCGCGCAGTTGGGGGTCCTGGAGGCCGAGTCTGGCTGAGCAAGGCCTGCGGTGGGGCTGCTGCCCCGACAGTCGGGATCAGCAGTGCCTGGGGGGCCTGGAGGGGCTGCAGCTGGGGTGTCCAGGGCCCCAGATGGGGTGGTGGGTGTCAGAGCCCCAGCGGCTGCTGTGTGACCCCAGGGGTGGAGCTCCGTCCCAGAGCCGAAGCCGGAAGCCCCATGATAGGAGGGTCCTGGTGTGTGACCCGAGCCTCAGCTTGTCCTCTGTGAAATGGGTCCAACGTGTGGGTTGGGGAGACTTCCTGTAGGTGGGGTGCCCACGTGGACGCCCAGGCTCACTGTGCCCGCTGGGCCCTGGGCTCCGCAGCCTTCGTCATTTATAGCTTCCTGAGCCTCTGCTTCCAGTACCTGGGGGGCGAGAGCGCCATCATGGCTGAGATTCGGGGAAAGCCCGTCCGGTAAGCGCCTCCCCCGAGCCCACCCGGCCCCTCCACACCCCAGGCAGCGGGAGGCTGGGACCCTGTCCTCAGGGACAGGCCTCAGGGACTCGCACACCCAGGTCCAGCTGCCTGTACAGCACCTGCTGCCTGCGGGGCATGGCCTACTCCATCGGGTTTCTGCGCTTCTGCAAGCAGGTGAGGGGGGGAGG